TTCGTTTTGTGATGATGTCTTCAATTCTCTAATTAATTTATTTTGGTGAATATTTTTGTAATTTTTGGTAAAAAGTGATATTTTTGACTTCTTGTTAAAAACTGTAAGTCCGATTGCTTTGATACTATTCATATTGTTCATTTTCTAATGATGTCTTCAGTTCTTTAATTGAAATGTGCATTGCTAACAGCGGAGCTATCTCAGCCGATAGGCTGCTTGTTTTTCTCCCCAAGATAATCATTGGAGAATTACCACCACCAAATTATTACATACACCGGTACTACTGGCCCCTATAAATAATTTTCCAAATATCAACAGGTGTTGTGAAATTACTTTGGATGGTAATCTGCGATCTCATAGACCAGGCATATAATTTAACCCATTCTGTGCCAAAGTTAACTTTTGTTAACATTCACTAAATTAAATGCATAATTATTTCCATATTGATCAAAACATGTATGCAAATTAAGTCTAAAATTAACAAAGAAATTCTAGAAAAAAGCAAAATGTTGTATCAAAATTGGGCCAAAACACTTGTGGCATACAAAGTGTTAATTACTGGTAAAAATATGGTAGCATTGTAAAATTGACAGAGTGGGTGGATAAGTCTTCATCAAATTGTTCAAATTCTAAATCTATTACAAATTAACTGAGGATATATCTTTCAACTTTTCTAACATTGACAAATAAATTGTGGAAAGAATAATTAAAAACAATGATATTGAATTACTGAATTGTACCACCATTCACATGAAACACATCAAACAACTGTTATCTTTCAGCTTGTCGTAGTATCTGATCTCACTATAATACTTCATGTAATACCTGCTTTACCTTCTGACAGTATTAAAAATAATATATTTTTAACTAAATAATTTTGATAAAGTTCATATGCTCTCCTCAATATGACTATGTAAACATCTCACAAGTTTACTAACAATTCTCAAACAACAAACTACTTTTGATCAGTATTGAACATTAGTCGTGATATTTTTCATAGCAACCTTATGAGTTCAGCTGCTCATTGTTTTTTGTGTTCAATCCTACAATGGTAGCTAGACACCAGTGCATATTATTAACAGAAGATATGTATTTGTTACGTAGCACATGTCAGATTGACCTCGCTGTACGTGTCTATATTTATACTCTTTAACTTCTGTGGCAAATGCGCATCTGCTGATGTGTTGTCGAAAATAACCAGTTGGAGACGAGCTGCTATCAAAAAAATGGTTTATAAATCTACAGAATTTTAATATACAAACTTGATTAGATTTACCATATTGATTTGATTGAATCCAGCATTGTACAATTTATCAACCTATTACTCGGTTTGATCTCTGTAATCAGTGCATGTTGTGTGCGTTTTTCATTGTATAATATCGTTATTTTCAGTATGTATATATTTTAATATAATAAATCAGCATTATCTTGTATTTAAAAATTATTGCTTTACAGTAGAGGGATAAAAAGACTGTAAAAACTTCACAATGAAAGAGAAATAAAACTACTCTATTTAACTGTGTGTTTTGTTAATTGACTGAGAGTGAATTGGAAGGTGATTATTCAGTAAAAACTGGCGTGACTATTGATGTCTAAAGTCCACAAAACTCTTGATGATGTCCTTGTTCAAGTGATGGAAATCAAAGAAAGCTTTGGAGGCATATCAAATCTAATACATGTATACTGATGCATTAATGTGAGCAGGGGGTTTACCTTGGAAACTAATACCAATCGATTATATTTTTGCACCCCTGGAATGCCATCTCCCTCCCAGATTATGAAAAATATAATTGTTGCATTATGGGTATATGTAATCTGTACTAGTTAGCAGAAATGAGGTAAATTCTGAATGGTAATTGTTTGATCTTTATAAAACATTACCTTTGTATATTTTCTCATCAACTCTATCTCTTTGATATTGACACCTGTGTTATTACTTCATTGCTCCTCTTCATACAATTCATCACATGATAGCTTTGTTTTTATTTCCAATTCACCTTTATTTAAATAACGCTGTCCAATAAGTGAGTAATACACCAACAGCTTTCTCTCGATAGTATACATAGTAATGTACAATTTTATAAATAACTCATTAAATCCTATTTACATAGAACATGGATTTCAACAATTAACTGAAATCTCTTTAAAGATAGGTGATCAAAATTGTCAACATGATTTAATTCTGAACTACCAGAATCACATCTAAACATTTAAATCTGAAAAAGTTAGGAGCTGATAAATCAGGGAATGATAACATCACATGCTGAAGGCCTCCCTAGATAGCAAACATGAAGGGGAAAAATATCAATGCGTTAAGCATGTTTACTTATATCTAATATAGTATTATCATGGACGTAATCTGTCTTACATCCATGGTATTATGAATGGTATGAGTAAGCTGAGCACACTTTCCTAGTGTCCATCAGACTTGACTGGTAGTTTATTATATCATTGGAGCTACAAAGAGTCATATAAATACTTTTATATAGTGCCCACGTCTATGAACTCGTGCTTGGGACATTCAAATTACGGGTGTAAAATATTTCCACTATTGTATGATATATGACACAAGTTGTGTCAAAATAGATGGAGATAATGTGCACTGTTACAATATGTATCCTGTCTTGTGAGCAGAAGACAATTGAAGTGACACAGTCTCAGCATTGCGTCATGGAGTACCATGAAATGTATACAACATGCGTAACATACATTGTTTATTAGTTCAAAAACACGTACTGCACAATTACT